AGGCGAGTGATGGTGTAGGAAGGCTTTTGTCCATCCTCCTTCGAGGTACATTATCATGTATGATTGATAACCTGGTGATAAACTTCCTGCCATTCTAAAGGTGTTGTGAGTGTTAATCTTCTCACCAAAGGTAGAAAACCAAGAGGTTGGTTTCATTCCATAAGAGACATTGTAAGTGAGATTAATCCTAGGGTCTAATACCTGAGAACAAAGATCCCAATGAGTTTTGTCTAAAGGGAATGGTGTTGGTCTGGTAACATTCTCAGGAAGCTTGTACCATTTCTGCGGAGTGTGAGGTGCTGCACTAGTAAGAGTGCCCCGAGTATAATCAAATTTTACTGATATATTCCTATGCTTTGTGATGGGAAAAGGGCCATAAGAGTAAGGATGCTATCTAAAGGGTGCAGCTTTAGTGTTAATGGAATGTACTGGAATAACACCATATGGTAGGTTAGGATGAATTATCATGAATTTGTGAATGGAACAGTCATGGTATGTCTGACTCTCCTTTGTTAAATTGATACTAGAGGTGTTACTTCTGAATAAAAATATAGGAAATGTTGTTTGTTGAAATTGGATAGACGAAAATTGGAGTGTGATATTGCCAATAAGTGAGGAATTTAGATTATCGGGTTCTTCCCTTATTAAGATACGAGTAGACTGAAGCCAATTGTGTAAGGTTGGGTCTATTTTTGATGTAAATGTCATTGTACTTGTCGTGATGTTAGAGCAGTCCTGTGGTGGGTATTCAAGAGCTTTTATAGGTGTTTTTACGCCGGTAATCATAATACTTACAGTTGTTTGTATAATATTTCCTTCGCCTCAGCATAAGTGAGTACTATTTAGCATGCCCCTCTGTTTTGGTAAGTTCCATGTGTTTTGAGTAAATCCTAGAGCCGATGGCGTTCTGAGCTTAGGTGCTAATGTGATTGTTTTTTGATAGGTGTGTTTCTGTAAGAGTTCCTTTATCGGTTTTGGTAGGAAAGAAGGGTCTCTACAATAAATTTCCTTTTCTATGAATGTAAAGCTTTGATCGAAAGGGTCGGTATCATTGGATGGAAAAGAGTTATTCACTATGCCTGCCGCAAAACAGATCTGATAGATGGGACCAAATCGAGGTGCTTCCCATAATTTGGGTCCTATGGTGAAATCATCATAAGTGACAGGGGAAATTAGGTCGGTCAGCACTTGGGGTATATGTCTGAAAGGCCAAAAATTATTGTCCTTCTCTAGGTATTCTTCAGGTGTGATTGCCTCATCCAATGGTGTCCTCATATGAGAGGCAAATGCAGCGCCTTCAGAGGCGCCCATAGTGCACTCGATTCCAGTGCAAAAATTGCCAAAGGTTGGAAAATGTGGAAACTCTGTAAGATAATATTGATAATATGTTATGTCACCTTCTTTTACTGTATGATTAATAGGATGTTCTTCAGGGAAGCCTTCTGGTAATGTGGGATTCGAAATTGGTGGTGAGAAAAAGGGTTTGGGATTCATGAAAGCTGGGGTGGTTGGTGAGGTTTCAGGAGCAGTGGCCTCTGCGGTTGAGGATGTTTCTGTTGTTTCTGTTGAGGCGGCTAGAGTGGAACAGTGTTGTTCTCATCATCACAGTCATTATACTCATAGTCCTCTGTACCTGTGTCATCTAGTTCTCCCGTGTTCCAAAACCTCATTCGGTGTTCCAGGAAGGGCACTACATTAAAAGTTGCTCTTTGTGTACAAGTATTGTTTTCTTCAGCGCTATAAGGGTCTATGAGCTGTATAGGCATTACGATGGATCCTCCCCATTGTAAAAGGGTATCATTAGAGACGTGGTAAGTTATTCCCTGTGGTCCCCGAGGTTGAGTGTCAACAATTGATACAGATCTAGTACGTAATGCATCCTGAAACCATTGAAGTTGCACACAGTCTTTAAGTCGTGTGTGATGATATGCTCTTAGAGTAGTCTGATCTTCATTTAAAGCTTGTAGCTGACAATACTTCTGTGTATAACTTGGACATAGTTTATATGTAGCAGTGTAATATAGAGAAGTGTTGAAATCAAAGTGTCCTATAGTTAGAGGAAAAAGAGTATTGTTAGTGAAGATATAAGGAGGGTGAAAGATGTAATGTTGTGGAGGCTGTTCTAAGGTAATGTTATGGAGAGGTGGTTCCATAGTCATAGCTGCTGCTATAGTATTTGGTTTTATAGTAGTAGTAGTAGTAGAAGTTTCAGAAGAAGTTTCAAAAGAAGTAGCTGTAGTAGGAGAAATAGTTGTACCATTGGGGATTTCAGAGAGTATTACAGAAGTTAGAGTTATGTAAATGATTCCTCTTCCTCTATCGTTTGCATAAGTTCCTCCTATTCTTTTTCTCGTTGGGTAATAGCTGGGCAGAAGTGCCATTCTGGGGTTAATTTGGGAGCTCCTAGGCTTCCTAAACAAAGTTGAGTAAGAAATTCTGTTGGTGTGGACAATGGGAGTATCTGAGGTGGATTTCTATCTTCTGCATAAATTGCTTGTTCGGCTATTGTTATATAATCTTTCAGCATAGAAATCCAATCAATTGCAGCCCGACCTGGTAAATATTCAGAAAGGCTTTGACTACCATCAAGGGTTCCTTGAACTATTTCTATAACTCCCCATCCCTGGCAACCACTAATCTAGCTTTCTATCTCTACCAATTTGACTGTTCTGGACATTTCATATAAATGGAATCATACAACATGTGGCCTTGTTTCTACATATGTGTGTTATTATTATTATTGATTTTTAGAGAAAGGAAGGGAGAGAGGAGAAAGATACATTGATGTGAGACCAAAACATCAATCAGCTGCCTCCTGCATGCATTGAGCCCACAACCTGGGCATGTGCCCTGACCCAGAACTGAACTGGCAACCTTTTGGTGCACAGGATGATGCCCAACCAACTGAGCCACACCGGCCAGGGCAACAGGTGGCCTCTTGTGTCTAGCTTCTCTCTCTCCCCCTCAGCATGTTTTTGAAGTTCACCCACGTTGTAGCATATGTCAGTACTTCATCCCTCTTTCTGGCTGAGTAATATTCCACTGTGTGTTTGAGCCACGTTTCATTCATCCTTCATCAGCTGATGGACACTTGGGTTGTTTCTACCTTTGGTGATCATGACTAGTGCTGCTATGAACATGTGTGTGTAAGGGTTGGTGTGAATACCTGTTTGGGATTATTTTGGGTGGATACATAGGACTGTAATTGCTGAGTCATATGATAATAGTCCAGATTTGA